TCCTCTCTCCTTCCTCCTCCTCCTCTTCTCTCTCTCCCTCCCTCCTTTCTCATTTTCATCTTTACAGTCCTTTTTTCCTCTGTATTTTGAAAAAGCTTTCAAAATTTAGTCTTAATACCTCATCATAAATAGCACAATTCTCTTCAAGTAGTCTTTTTTTGTGATTAATAGAACGATGTTTGCTACGTCTGGTCTTTGAAAATGTCTTGATCTCCACCTCAGATATTTGTAATGAAACATTGGTGATGTTACGGCTTGTGTTCCTTAGGATCACAGAGATGTTCTCAGTGCAAGCAGACATACTATTGCTCCACAGTGTGTCAGAGAAGAGATTGGTCGGCACACAGCATTGTGTGCAGACCTGTTCAGCAAACGTAAGGGTTCATGATGTTTTTATTCCTTAGAGATTATATAAAAAATTTCTTTTATAGAATAAAGATCCAATCAGTTAAGCAGGCCACAACTATGTGTAAGTTATTTTTTACTTACTGAGGTCTAACAGTGTACAAATATGAAGTGAACAGCTGTATAAACCTAGTTTTCATGAATATAATTTTACTGGATAGTACATATTAAGATTTAGAACCTTAAGTGAGTTTGTTTTTAATGTTTAAAGCTTTAGAATGTCTTTTAATCATGTATGCTTTCCTGGATTTTTAATAAGTTAGAACTTTTACATGCCTCTTGAATTGTAATTTTTAAATACATAAATCTTACTTGCATGACATTTACCAGTTTACAAAACAGTTTCACATATAACCTCATTATAAGTAATGTCCATTTTATAGATGAGAGAAATGAGGATCGGAGATTGTGACAGTCTCCCCTTCAGTAGATGACTTTCGGAAGAAACATGCCTATGCACACACAGGGTGTGGGCCATTTTGTAGCCAGCATTGGGTGGTTTTACTTTATTACCATTGTGATTCTTTCTGGAAGAAGCTTTCTGGATTTTGTTCATTGAGAATTTAACATAGTTGTAAATTATAGCCCCTACTATTAATTGTCTCTGTAGTATAAGTATCATAAATCAGTTGCTTTATTTTAGTTTCCGTAAACTTGAAGATAATAAATCACCTTTTGAAACAAAGAACATGGAAGTGAAAAACAAGGTATTGTATACTTTGTCTTTAAATTTTGAGTAACTCCTCTTTATTGAATTAAGAAGATGTAAGATAAATAAAATATTTTGGACATATTTCTGTATTTTACCAATGTTAAATGTTAAAAATTTTGTTAAAATTTTCCTGTTGAAGAAATCTGTACACCCTAGTAATGTGATTTTGTGACTGTTGGGGGGAGGTCTTTGAGAATTTTTTATTTCCAATCTTTAAAAAAAAAAAAACCCATTTAAGATGGCTGTATCTCGGTGTAAAATCCTTCAGACTATGTAAAAAGGTCCCTTTTTTGTAGCCCCTGTAGGCAGAGGTTCTCTAGTTTGGTGTACTATATTCTAATAGGGCCTATTATTTAAGGAGCTTTTTTTTTTTTTTTTCTCCGTAAATGGCTCTCCTTCATTTAGATAACTATATGGGCTAAATTATTTGTCATCTGAAAAACATATGTTGTGTCCGACTCACAGGAATAATTTTTAACTTTCTCTAGCTCCTAGCCTTTACTTTTAAAAAATCTGACTTCAGCCGGGCTCGGTGCCTCAGCCTGTAATCCCCGCCTTTGGGAGGCTGAGGTGAGTGGATTGCCTGAGCCCACGGGTTCGAGACCCGCCTGGGCAGTGAGACCTCATCTCTACAATAAATAAAAAAATCATGCCTGTAATTCCGGCTACGCGGAAGGCTGAGGCGGAAGCATCGCCAGAGCCCAGCAGGCGAGGCTGCGGTGGCCGCTGCTCTCCAGTCTGGGCGACCGAGTGAGACTCCAACTCAAAAAAAAAAAAAAAAAAATTTGACTTCCTCAAATATTCATTCCAACAAAAGCATTAACAAGTACAAATTTAAAAGACCACCTCCACTCTCACCACTCTTTTTTTTCTAAACTCTTATCTTCATCATCATGACCTCATTCTTGGGCTCTTCCCAGCCCTGTGTGCACTGCCTGCAGACAATAGGTTTTAGTGACTCTTGGAGGCCCTTACTAGTTCTGAGTTTTTATCCCAGCCTAAGAGTCAGACCATTATGGCTGCTATACCAGCAAATAATGACCACAGAATCATTGACATGTGCTTTTAAGTAAATTACTTATGTGTTTTTTTCAAACCAGTGTGACTGTCCACTTGGAGTTTCTAAAAAAATAGCCATTTGTGCTGAGAAAATAATGTTTTCTGATTTGAAAAGTCTACAACTCAAGAAAACCATGGAAATAAAGGTATTTGTTATTGCTTAATCTCCATAGACAGAGATCCAAAGAACTGTAGTTTTTATTTCCTCATTTCCTATTCTTTAGTTCAAAAAGTAGCTATAAAGTGTATCCAATTAAATTAATAAAGGTTGCAAAAGCTGTCTGTAACACTTTTTATATCTTAGTTATAAAACTTTAAGAAACTTACATTTACTTGTATTCTTTGTGATTTACTACATTTTTTTCTGTCTTTGAAAGGGTACAGTTACTGAATTCAAACATCCAAGTGACTTTTATGTGCAGTTACATTCTTCAGAAGTTTTAGAATACATGAACCAACTCTCTGTAAGCTTAAAAGAAGCATACACAAATGTGGTGCATGAAGATTATATTCCACTTAAGGGGGAAGTTTGTGTTGCTGAGTACACTGTTGATCAGGTAACCCCTAATGAAATGAACTATTTAATGAAATATTTTAGCTTACTTTAATCATATCCGCTCATTGATACCAGAGCTTTAAGTGATGTATTGAATAGCTCAAAGCCAAACTCTGGTCATACTTCTGTTCCTCCTCCCCAGAATTCCATGCTGTGTTCAGTTTGCTTTCTTCCTGTCTTACCCTCTCCAGCCCTGTTACTGATTGCTAGTATTGGAGCTTGTGTTTATTTGTGTAGTTGAGGCATTGTGTGTCCTAATTAAACAATTTTAGAGCTTTCTTAGCAAGAGTCTTAGAAAATTAAGTTGACTTTTTGAGTGCTTTACAATAGAATTAGGAGCCTTTCCCATGCACATCTATAGATTGGTTGAGGGTTTTTTTAACTTATGATTGTGAAATGCTGTTTTGAAACAGAATACCATTATATTTTACTTCCAGACCTGGAACAGAGTAGTAATACAAGATGTTGATGTGCTGCAGAAGAAGACACATGTCTTATATATTGATTATGGAAATGAAGAAATAATTCCATTAAAGAGAATTTACCAGTTAAACAGAAACATTGACTTATTTCCTCCTTGTGTGAGTCTCTTTTCTTTTTACTTTCTAAATTCCCAGTAGTGTTCCATAGGAACTGTTTTTAATGTTTTGGTGGGGCACAATGTTTGCTTGTTCTATTCTGTCATGTTGCTGTACCTATTGTTATTTCTTTTACTTTGTAGATAAACACTCATTGGCTATCTTGGTCTCATTTATTTAAGTACTCTCTCAGATGAGAAACATTTTTAGGCACATCTTATCAATCTGCTGTTTAAAAACAGTCACTTCTATGTTTATTATATTATTTGGAGGTGGCCTGAATTTACATATAATAGAGGGATAATTATTATTCTTTCATAAACTTCTCGAGCTCCAAGTACCAAAAGTAAGTGTTATGAATAAGTAACAAGAGAGACAAATAATTATACATAAAATTGTTTTTCTAGTTAGTACTTGAAGATTTTTGATATGTTTTCTCCATGAAATGCATTGTCTTTTTTAACCCTCTGTACTCGGAGACAGCTCACAGATCACCTATCAGCAACTTGACTGCACTCTCTTACGAAATACTCAAAAATTAATCACTTCATATTAATAGTATAGCATTGTGACTAGTTGTTTTATTGCAGTAATATTTGACTTATAATGGAATGTTGAACAGTTAGGAGCTTAATTATGACCAAAAAAATCAAAATTTTATGTCTGATATTTTTCTGATGTGTGGTAATATGTGAAACAGTCACCCACATGCATTGCAGGTTCATTGATAAATATTGTACAGTAGTAATTTGCTGTCTTCTACCTGGTATTTTTCTATTGGCGCAGACAATGCAGTCTTGTTTTCTTCCTTCCACATTAATAATATGCAATTTATTGTTCACTCTGTTGTTCGAAGATGTGGAAAGAGACACTCGTGATTCCTGAAAATCACTTCCCAACTGATTGATTACATCTTAGTATATATTCCATCTCTTTAATTGCTTTTTTGTGCAATTTGAATGGAAAAATTCAAGGAAACATACATTTTTCAAAAATTTGTTCTTGCATAAGTTTGTTCTGTATAATCACCAGCAATCTCTTTATGTCCCCTGAGAGGGGCTATTCTAGTAGTTTGCTAGATTTACAATATCCCCTCAGAGGGGATCCAAGTGCAGAGGTTTTAAAATATTCATATAATTAATTAGAAAAAGTCATTTTAAATACTAATTTTTGTAAGTAACTTATGCAAACTCTTTCAGGCCATAAAGTGCTTTGTGGCCAATGTTATCCCAGGAGAGGGGAATTGGAGCAATGATTGTATCGCAGCTATTAAATCACTGTTAATGGAGCAGTACTGCTCTATAAAGATTGTTGACATCTTAAAAGAGGAAGTGGTTACCTTTGCTGTAGATGTTATGCTGCCAAGTTCAGGTAAGATCTGAGTCTTTCTTTTTAAATTGAGTGCTTAATATGTTATGTAGCCTTTACCTGTTACCTAGAGGAGAGAGAGAAACATGAAGTGATGCCAAGGAAATTTCTCTCTGGGGTTATTCAGGTTGTCACTGAAACCTTGGTCCTGTTCTTGCAGTTGGCAGTTTGTCACAGATGTGGCACAAATTCATAGAATTAAGTGACTTAAAATGCTAGATTTAGACCTGGTATGGGGATAGCTATTATCTTTTTTTTTTTTTTTTGAAAGCAGGATTTATTGAGAGGACAGAAAAGCTCCCACAGTGGGAGGAGACCCAAGAGGGTTGCATATATGCATATATATATATATTGAGTTGGAGTCTCACTCCGTCGCCCAGGCTGGAGTGCAGTGACACATTCATGGCCACCCCAGCAACCACCTGCTGGGCTTCGGCCATCCTTCCGCCTCAGTCTTCCAGGTAGCTGAAACTACAGGTGCGTGCTCCCACACCTGCTAGTTTTTGATTTATTGTAGAGACAAGGTCTTGCCAAGTTCCCAGGCTGATCTCAAACCTGCAGGCTCAGGCAGTCCACTCGCCTCCGCTTCCCAAAATGCTGCGATTATAGGCTAAGCCACCGGGCCTGGCCACTATTATCCTTTTAATATAGGCATTATAATATCTACTCCTGATTTCTACTCCTTTATTGAAAGTATTGAAGTCATTCATCAATGTGAATTCATTCTGTGAATTCATTCATCAATGCCATTTTCTTTTTGCAGGTTTTACAGAACTGCATTTTGTTAGTAGGGTGGTTAAGTTGTAGAAATGGAAACATTTTCAAATCCTGTTTTTCCATTCTGGCTTCTTATCTGTTTGACAATTGACTTCCTATAGTGTGTATATAATTGCCGCTCAGTGTCCAAGGTATTTCCCTTAAACTTTCAGAGATCCGGGATCAAGGGTGATTTGATAGAAAATGCAGTTAATCTGTTGTGAAATTAAGTATAAAATCTGTATTGTTTCTTCAATATATTTGTTTCATGTTATGATTTCAGCTTTTTGATTTCAGGGAACTTGAAGTTCATGTTGATGCTGACTAACTCTTATTCAGTCATACTGTTAGTCTGAGGAAAAAGTAGTCTTATGTCTTAAATTTATTTATTCTCGTAAACAGTGGTCACTCTAATTATGCTTGTGGTGGTAACTGAATTTTTCATGTTATTCAGAATTTTGAAGTGAAATCTTTTCATTAAATTTTCTGTCAAGTGACTGGGAATTTTGCCTCAGTTTTTAAAGCTGAGCACTACTAAACTATATTTGCCAGTAGAAATGAAGTTGGTAAAACATATGCCAGCATATTAATAACTATAATCTGAGTTATGTGTTGACTTACCTGTTTCTTGCTTTGCTTTTCCCATAGTGCTTTGGATAGTATAACAATGGAGGTGTATCTTCTTAATTATTTTTTAGGAAAATTCTTAGACTGTGTGCTGATAGAAATGGGATATGGCTTGAAACCCAAAGGACAAAATTCTGAAAAGCAAAGTGCAAATCAAAGTGAGTATACAGATTAATATTGGGCAGTATAGTGACTTCACTTATTTAAGAATATCTACTAACCAATAAAAGGTACAACTATAGCACTGTCAAGACTTCGCAATGATAACCATTCTATAAACTTTATATAGGAAAGATGCTATTTTGCATTTAGTAATATGTTATTTCTAACCTCGGTCTTTCCTACCTGTTCTTCTTCTCTGCCTGTTTTCCATATTAATCCTTGACATGGTAACGAGTTTATAAAGTATCAATTATCATGATACTTTAGATTTAGGGCTTTTTAGCTTCTTAGTTTAATTTGTTTTTCTTTTTTTCTTTCTTTGGTATTCCACTAATAATAAATAGGGTTTTAAAATTCTATTCCAGTAGGACAGTTTTTCTTCTTAATATTTTTGCTTCTTGTTTACTTGTATGGGTGGGGTTTTTTTAAATAATTTAAGAAGAGAACCAAGAAATTTTACTGTCGGCACTTTATTTCCTCATTGATTAGTCATCTATGTTTTTATTGTCTGCTTGCTTCTTTTCTTTACTTCTTTACCAATTACTTTAGATATAGACATAACTTATTGTCTCTTATTCTTTTATCCAGCGGTTATTGCCAGATCGACAGTGCCATGACTGGACACATCCTATGGCATAAATATACTTTATTCATCCTTAAGTCTGCCTTCTTCCTTACCTCCTGTTCTTTGCCCTATCTAATTAGTTGTCAAGTCTTTATTGATTCTTCTTTCCAAATTATTCCTTGAATATACCTTTTTTTCCTTTCCTTCTCTACTGCCATTTTCTTAGTTCAAGAATACTTATTATTCATGAAACACACTTCTCATGTATCTTTTATCTCTGTCTGTATTCTTAGAATACTTACCTATGTGACATCTCTAAGACACCAATCTTGGTGTGACAGCTCTGCTGAAAAAACTTTCAGAAATTCTTTGTCATCTAGAGGAAAAAACAAAACAATTAATTGTCTTGTAGTTAGTATTTGTTGTTGAAACATAGTATTGTAGAGTGAGGGGGAAAAAACGAGGACGATAAACCTGGGACCTACAACATAGAGTGAGAAGCCGTATGGGATAGGTGGAAAGAAATGAGAAAAACCTTACCGGAACATCAGAAGGGTAAATACTTCTAGGAAAGGGAGTCATTAGTATATCAGATGCTGAAAAGGTATCCAATGGAAAGAACAAAAAAAACACTGAGCAATAACTGCTTCACTAAGGCACTATGGAAGTGCCTTCATGAGGACTGTTCTGTGTTCAGTACCGACAAGTAGAGAAGAAAGTATACAATGATGTGATAGAGAAGGTGCAGGGTGCAGTGGGAGCACCTGGAAAGGGCACCACACCAAGCTTTGTAGAGAAGCCATCTTGGAATCGTACTACACTGAATGGGAAATGACCAGGTGCTGGGGTGCGAGGGTGTCCCAAGACGAGAGAATGCATGTGTTAAGGCCTAGAGATGTAAAGACATGGTTGGGCCTGAAATACTGAAAAATAGGTATGGCTGGATTTGACTGTTGGAGAGAGGTGTAGGATAGGGAATGAGAGGTAAGTTAGAACAGATCACCAAAGGCTTCTTGTTGAGTTTGAGTATTGTTTGTGGGTATGGGAGAAGAAGATAATTGAAAATTAGAGAAGATAAGAGGAAGAGATTGGATATGCTAAGGGTCCCCTTTAAACCTTAAGAATTTAGTTGTGACTCTTTCACAGAATCAAACCTGTGCTTCTGTCCTGCCCCTTTGTGACCTGGTCTGGGTGAATAGCCTTGACAGCTTTGTCTTTTTTTTTTTAGTTGGAGTCTCACTCTGTCGCCCAGACTGGAGTGCAGTGGCCGCTCCTGGCCACCGCAGCCTCGACCTGCTGGGCTCCGGCGATCCTTCTGCCTCAGCCTTCCAAGTAGCTGGAACTACAGGCGCGTGCTACCACGCCCGGCTAATTTTTGATTTATTGTAGAGATGAGGTCTCACCAAGTTGGCCAGACAAGTCTCGAACCCACGGGCTTAGGCAATCCACTCACCTCAGCCTCCCAAAGGCACGGGATTACAGGCTGAGCCACTGAGCCTGGCAGCTTTGTCTTTCTTATTGTCAACATATAGTGCCACTAGTGACCAGGTCACGGTACTTTACATCATCATGCTTTTGTCCCTTTTCCTCTTGCAGTGTTCTTATGCCCACTGCACTTACTCACACCTGCTTTTATGATTGTACATGCCCTCCGCAGGTTTCCCTTCTCTTGTAACATTGCTCATATGGTAGCTCCAGATTTGAACATCTTCTGTCTCCTCCGGGATTTAGAACTTTAGGAGCAAAGACCATGGCCTTTTACTTAACTACATCTCTCCATGCCATCTAGCATGGCATCTGACATACAAGAGATTTTTAATGTATACTTTTTAAAAGTCAGGCATGGTGGTACACCCCGTAATTCTGTTTACTCAGAGGTTGAGACGAGAAGATCACTTGAGGCCAAGAGTTTTAGGCTGCAGTGTGCTGTGATCTAGCCACTGCACTCCAGCCTGGGCAACGAAATGGGATCCTGTCTCTTAAAACAACACACACACACACACACACACACACACACACACACACAACTCCTGGAGGATTTTCTGATGGACTCATGCAAGCTAAAAGACACCATCAAGATCACCCTATTTACACATGAAGAAACAGAAGCTGACTGGTACAGTGCGTTATCCTAAGACTTGGGGGGGACATAGAATCAGAACCTAGTCCCCTTTCTTCAGCTTAGTTAATGCTCTTTGTACCATACGATGCATCCTGTCCTATGAAACATCAGGGTGGTGGTTAACTTTTCTTGCTATTGAGTTTTTCTCTCACCTCCTCCCTTATTTATATTTCCAAAATGTCTTAAGAAACGGTTTGGACTTCTGTCTCTTACCATTTACACTTGAGATTGTTGAGTTTACTTTGGCTAGTGTTTTAGGCCAACTATTTCAGTTAGATTTCTAACATAACTTCAAGAATCCCTTGTAACACACTCTATGAGGTCATTCCTAGGTAGCGAATCCCCTTCACTTTTGTGGTCCTGCTTTCCCCTTGGTCTTCAGAGAGCCAGGCTAGCTAGTTTTATGGTGAGAACCATTTTCTTTGATAATGTATTTTCTCATATTTCTATGTTAAGTTGATGAAATTAACTTTAGTTTTTTGCGTTTAGCAGTAGTAGTTTGTTTTTCAGGATTCTGATATATTGTTGTTATGATGTCTTAATGCAAAAAATACATTCTTTGAATACTTGGACTTTTACAGACCATGTGCTTTTTTCATTTCTGTGAGTTTTCTTATGTTCTGAGTTATTTTTCATTGTGCTAGAAGCCTCTTTCTTAGGCTCTTAGGTTAGCCCTAATTTTTTTTTCTGTGTTGCTTGTTCCTTTTCTGAAACTGTTTATTGCATTTAAAATGTTTTAAATTTCAAATTATTTTCTCATTAATAAACAATTCCCTATAGGATTTATTATTTCACTTAATATAATGTGCTTCTACTTCAGGAACATGGAAGGATATCTGTTCCAAAGTACATTTTCTTGAATTCTGTTAGAGACTATAAAGATTATATTATAGATCTTTTACATTAAATATGAACTTGTCTTACGCTGCTGAGTTTTTTTCCCCCCTCAGGGCTAGTCTAGCTTTTGGTGACATAGAAAACTATATTGTTAACAGTTATTATTTGGAAAAAGATATACCATGAGCTCTCAGACTGTCATTTTCCAGGAACCTTGCACAGTCACATTCATAGTCTATTTTTCAAAATGATTAAAGTATGTATAATTTTTTTATACTTTTATGATAAGACCAAAATAACTTATTTTTCTGTCTTCTGATAAGGTGATCCTGAAGATGTTGTAAAAATGACAGCTGAAAACAAAATGGTTGTAGATAGAAGCGACCTAATTCCAAAAGTGTTAACTCTGAATGTAGGTGATGAGTTTTGTGGTGTGGTTGCCCACATTCAGACACCAGAAGACTTCTTTTGTCAGCAACTGCAAAGTGGCCGTAAGTCAATTTTCTTGGTTTGCTCTATCAAACTAACATACTTCAAGAGACTCAACATGCAAAAAAGATAATGTATAGATATGTATTTCTTTTGTTTAAGATGTGATCTGTATCTACAGATAAGCTTGCTGAACTTCAGGCATCCCTTAGTGAGTACTGTGATCAGTTGTCTCCACGCTCTGATTTTTATCCAGCCATTGGTGATATATGTTGTGCTCAGTTTTCAGGTAAAGAAATTGAATGTTATTTAATTTTTTTTTTTACCTACAGTTGAGTAAAAACAAATGAAAGAAAGTCTGGTTTGCTCTGAATGGTTTTATTTGAAGCTTGAGTATTAGAGTGAACCAATTATATTTTTAAATATACCCAAGTACACTGGATCAAAGGAGCATGGTTTGATGTGGGTAAGAGCAGAGAGCCTGTGAGTTTCAAGGGGGTGGAGGTAGTAAAAGAGGTTTTGTTGGTTATTTTGTCCATTAGTTTTTAGAAACTGGCATAGATAATTCTGTTTACATGCATAGGTAGATGTGGACCATTCTAGGCTCATGTCTTCACCAGTATTATTTGGAATAGTAAGAGGGCCTGGAAGTGCATAGTTGCCATGGCACAGCCTTTGTGCTATACAAGTCTTGCCTTGTAATAATCAGATTGTTATTTTCTGGTGAAGGGGAGGTCCAGTGGCCTCATGGAATAGGAGATACAGTAAGCCTCCAGTAAATATGTTGCTTGGTTGGTGGAGTCTGGTTGACTCATACTATCAGATGTTCTAAAATTAGTCCTGCTTGATGTCTTAGTGAATAGTTCATGTATTGATCAAGATGTTGGGGATTCACAGGACATGCGCTCTGTTTTAATAAGCTATTTATCTACTGGAGAGATAAGGCATGTAAACAAATAATGGCAGCATATGACATGATTATTGTAGTAAGCTATTAATAAAGATTACATTTTAGGAGTTAAAGGCTTCTGATGAGCAAAAGTAGTGGTATTAAGTAAACATATGCTGTTCTGTATCTAAGTTTAATATCTATTAAAGTAAACTGTATAAATGACCATCCCTAATTTGTAGTGGAAAACCTTTTGTTTATATCTACAGTGGAAAATTATTTGAGATTGTGTCTCTCCTTTTTTCAGAGGATGATCAGTGGTACCGTGCCTCTGTTTTGGCTTATGCTTCTGAAGACGCTGTACTGGTTGGATATGTAGATTATGGAAACTTTGAAATCCTTAGTTTGACAAGACTCTGTCCTATAATTCCAAAGTTGTTGAAATTGCCAATGCAAGCTATAAAGTGTGTGCTGGCAGGTATGAAATTGTTAGTTTTCATATTTTTAAAAAATTAAAACCTAAAGATGAAAAATAAGACACGAAGATAGAAGGAACAGAGAAAAACTTGCTTGTCAAAACAGTACAATTTGATCAGCTACTTAGAAATTAATATATATGTCATTTTCCCCACTAGGATCAGGTGTTTCTTTCCAGGTCAATAAATTGTTTTTACAAGCTTCCTTCAAACGTAACATAATCTTTTAACTAGTTTGCTATATCAGAAGGATATTTCCAAGTTTTTGCTATTAGCAACATTCTTATACCTACATTTTGCAACATATCCAACATCATTTCTTTAGGCTATATTGCAAAATGTAGTTACATTTTAAAATACTTCCTTTTTAATGCTACACTCCCACAAGTGGGGTGGGTGCTTCTTTTCTTGTTTGTGATACATATTGTGCATTGTCCTCCAGAAAGAGTTGGCCTAGTTTACATGCTCACCAGGGAGTGAATTCCTTAACACATTGGTGCACCAGAGAGCTATTTCTATATTATTTCATCTTGCAGTTTTAAGAAGCTGAATCATTTCAGTTTGTTTCATTACTAGTGAGGCTGAACACTTTTCTAAGTTACTTGGCACTTAGGTTTTATGAACTAACTTAGGCATAACTTTGGGATTGTCAATTTTTTTCTTAAGTTGGAGTCTCGCCCTGGCACCCAGACTAGAGTGCTTTGGTATGATCATGGCACACCATAGCCACAACCTCCTAGGCTCAAGCTGTCCTTCTGCTTTAGACTCCCAAGTAGCTGGTGTGCATTCACTCTCGGCTAATTTTAAAATTTTTTTGTAGAGGTGAGGTCTCACTATGTTGCCTAGGCTGGTCTTGAAATGCTGGGCTCAAGCAATCCTCAGCCTTGACCTCCCAAACTGCTAGGATTACAGGCGTGAGCCACCGCACCCTGCCAGGATTGTTGATTTTTAAGTGCCCTTTCAGTGCTGATTTGCAAGTGCTGTGTTTCATATGTTAAGAGACTAGCATTTCTTCCCAAATTATTCTGTACTTTTATTCTTTTCTTAACTTTATTGGGCTGTAATTTCCATGCCATAAATTCATTTTTAGGTTTTAGGTATACAATTTAATAATTTTTAGTAAATTTACTGAGTTGTACAATCACCATAATCCAGCTGTCTAACATTTTTATAACCTCTTGAGGTCTTTTGTGCCTGTTTACAGTTAGTTAATCCTTGCTCTTCAGGCAATGGCTGATCTTTCTGCCTCTGTAGATTTGCTTTTTTGGACATTTCATATCATTGGCATTGTTTTTGTTTTTTACATAGAAGCTTAGAAACTTTTTACTTTTTTTTTTTGGTCAGTTTTGCCTTTAGTTTCATGTTTCAAAAATTCTTCTCAGGTGAAACTGTTTGGTTCCCATGTTTGCCATAGATAACTTAAGTTTAACTTTGTGGCGATGAGGAGCTTTTCTAAGTGCTTGCTTTAATAATTTTTTAACATTCTCTTAAAAATTCTTTATTAGGAGTAGAGCCACCATTAGGAATTTGGACTCCAGAAGCTATTTGTCTCATGAAAAAAATTGTACAGAACAAAATGATCACAGTGAAAGTGGTGGATGAGTTAGAAAACAGTTCCCTGGTAGAGCTTATTGATAAATCCAAGATGCCTAATGTCAGTGTTACCAAAGTTCTCATAGACACAGGCTTTGCTGTGGAGAAGAAGGCTACGGTGGCTGATTCACCTAGTGACGTCAAAGAAGCCATTGGTAAGAAAAACGTTTGCCGGATAATGCCTGTACTGGAGTTCAGTGGTTCTGTAAACATGTGGTTTCTTGTATTTTCAAAAAGAATTTATCGTAAGAGTGCTTTTTATATTTTTTAAATCAAGCATTAATCTAAATACAATTAAGATTATAATTGAAAAGTAAAATTTTGTTGAAAGTTTTGTGGGTTACTGACAGCTGAAGATTGATCAAAAGTGAAAATTTGAAATTCAATTAGGAAATAATGACTATAATGTAAGACAGGCAGTAGGTAGTAATAGATAATGTAAGACTGACTATAAGGTTAATATACCTATAAAGTCACTTAGAATATCAGTAGAAATTCAGTTCTGCAAAAGCAGATTCCCCAGCGATCCCATCCTCCATTCCTACCACATTCTTCCCCTTACTCTGTCCATTTGTTTTGCAAAATGTTCACTTATTTTCACAGTTCCTTTGAATGTAGAAGGAAAGGTAAATCCATTGGAGTGGTCATGGGTTGAACTTTCTGTTGACCAAACAGTTGATGTTATGGTCTGTATGATATATAGTCCTGGAGAATTTTATTGCCACTTGCTTAAAGAGGATGGTAAGTTGACCCTTCTCGTTTATTGCTTTTTACAAATACATTGGCAAAGATAATAACTTAAGATGAGTTTGTTATTAAGTGACAAAAGTAGTCTTTCCAAGAAGGCCAGGTGGATATTTGTATTTTCGAGAAAGATTTGTTTATGCTTAGTTGACTTTTATTCTGTTTTAAATCATCATTTCTATTCTTAACAATGTCTTTTAATTTAAGCCATGCCTCCTAATTTTCAAAAATTAAATTTGTTTTTATTGAAGTATGACATACATATAGATAATTCTCACGAACTCAGCACACTTGTATAACCAGCTTCTGGGTCAAGCAATAAAACATTACCAGTGTCCCAGAAGTTTCTTTCATGTTTCTTCCTATTATTACTTCTATCTCTTTCAAAAGTAAATGTTATCCTGCCTTCTAATAGCATCAATTAGTTTTATCTGGTTTGAACTTTACATAAATGGAATCATCCAATATGTACATCTCTGACCCTTGCTGACTTTTTTCATATTGTGAGATTGTTGTTACATGTAGCTGTAGCTTGTTTTTCATTATTTCATCATGATCCATTTTATGAATGTACTGTAGTTAATTATTACTTTTTACCATGGCACATTTGGCTTGTTTTGTTTAGGGCTATAAACTGATGTTGTGAACATTCTTGTACAAATTTGTTGCACATGTGCATGCATTTTCTTTGAGTCTATACCCAGGAATAAAAGTACTGGGTCATAAAGGGTTTGTATATTTTCAACTTCACTCAGTGAATGCCATTTTCCATTTTCTAATACTTAGGTTATATAATCTAAGTGCTATCATCTGCAAAAAGTGATTATGGTGGTTGTCATTTTGAGGCTTCTGGTTGCTCTTCATCCTCACAAACACTGTATTTTCTTTTTTGTTTACTCTTTGGGTGAGCATCATTGGTTTTAATTCTTCTAAATCTTGGTTTTTCTTTGTCAAATGAGGACGTTAAACTAGATAACTAAGTCCCTGCCTGACTCTCAAGGTGAAATTTGTCATTTCTTCATTCAGAATCTTCTGGTAAATAGGCCACTGTTTCATATAGCATAACATTTGTAATAAGTTTTTAAAATTTATTTTTATAGGTGATTATACAAGCATATGGTACAAAATTCAAAAGTTATGAAGGTTTATAGTGGAAAGTAAGTGTCTCAGTTCCTCTTCTTAGTTTCCTAAGTATCTTTTCAGAAGTATTTTGTGCATATGCTTGTATGAATGAACAAGTAAATGTTCCTTTTATGTACCTATAAATGGTAAAATAGTGGAAGAAATTTTTGCATTTTTTTCTCCCACTTTATCTTGGATATCAATTCACATTATTTTTCTATTTAATATAATTTTTATTTTGGAATAATTTTAGATTTGCATAAAGTTGCAAATATGGTACAAAGCGTGCTGCATACTCTCACTCAGCTTCTTCTATAGTTAACCTTAAGTGATCATGTCACATTCTGTGCAACAGAGACCAAGAGTGGCATATTACTATTGACTGAACTCCAGACTTTATCTGGATTTTGCTAGATTTTCCATTAATACCCTTTTCTTACTCCAGGATCCACTCCAGAATACCACTTTACTGTTTAGTCTCCCTTCTGTTTTTCATAGCTACATGATATTTCACTATGTGAATTTATCCTAATTTAATTAGGTGTGGATAAATATAGAACTGGGAGCTTTCAAGCTTTAATTACTAAAGCAATCGTTGTACTTTGTGATTTTACTTTGAGAGTTTATCTTTGGGATAAATTTTTAAAACTGTAATTATAGTATTAGGTCAGAATATGTGTGTGCTTGTGCTTTGAGAGCTTGTGTTCTTCCAGAGATTAGCAAAGCGATCCCCCAGCAACAGAATATGGAAGTCTCTTTTTCTATACCATTTCCTATAGGGTGTCCTTCAACTTTTTGATTTTGGCTAATCTGAAAGGGAAATTCCCATTTCTTTGAATGAGCCTTGACACATACTTGAAAGGCATTTTTGCAGGGCTCGGTGGCTCAGCCTGTAATCCCCCGCCTTTGGGAGGCTGAGGTGAGTGGACTGCCTGAGCCCATGGGTTCGAGACCCGCCTGGGCAGCGAGACCTCATCTCTACAATAAATCAAAAAATCAGCTGGGCGTGGTAGCGCATGCCTGTAATTCCGGCTACTCAGAAGGCTGAGGCGGAAGGATCTCCAGAGCCCAGCAGGTCAAGGCTGCGGTGGCCGGGAGCGGCCACTGCACTCCAGTCTGGGCGACCGAGTGAGACTCCAACTCAAAATAAAAAAAAAAAAAAGAAAGGCAACTACTTAGTGGTTCAGATACCTTTCTTCTACATGCTGAAGCTCTCCGTGGTCTGCTTTCCAAGCACACCTCTGGTGTCTCTCTCCAATGCCTTACCCTTCCACTTCTCTGTTTTGCCAGACTGCTCCCCTCCCAGGGTTTTTGGCTACCTAATTTGATAATTCTGTCCTTTGTCTCAGAGCTGTATCTTCCTTCTGGAATATCCTCTACTCTCTTTCAAATGTGGTATACCTCTAATTTCTCTAGAAACTTCCAGTATGCAGAGCTCACGAGTCCTCTGGCTTTCTTGGCATATGTTATCTGTGCCATCCATTTAGTAATTGTGTTCACTGTTTCAGGACAGCTTTTATGTAGCTTTCTCAATGGCCTTGTGTGCTATTTCCGTGTCCACATGCGAAGCTCATGCTTTAATATACTGATGATAATGCCACAGTTGTGTCTCTGTACCCAGTAAATCTTTAGTATTGGCTCTGAGTATTAACTAAATCATAACTTATTTACCCAAAAAGTTTTTAATAAGGAGAATCATTTAGTATACTTAATAGTTACTTTAGGATGTACCTGAGATTTTTATGATCAAAAAATTTCTGACTGTAAAGGAAAATCTATGTTCTATATTTGAAAATATTAAATGCTATGTGTGCAATGTATTTTCAGCTTTAAAGAAACTCAATGATTTGAACAAATCTTTAGCAAAATATTGCCAGGAGAAGTTGCCGAATGGTTTTAAGGCAGAAATAGGGCAACCTTGTTGTGCTTTTTTTGCAGGTAAGTTGCAGTTGGTATCATCTTGACTATTAGAACCTCCTATTTGTTAATATTCAACCTTTATTTTTAGTGCAAATACTTTTTACAGCCAAGGTTAAATGAATGCTTCGGATGTCATGGATTTTTCCTTTTCTTTTTATAACAACAAAACTCAAAGTGACACTTTCTTGCCTAAACTTTGTAAACATTATTATAATGCTTTTCCTTCCTGAATTTGTGATATTAAAATAAGTTAACTAATAACTGTTCACTATAGGTTCATTGTTTCTTTGGGTCACTCTGTACATGTTTACAGTATTTTTTAAATGTGTTTAATGAAATGCCTTCATTTTATTACAAGAGTTTTTCTACTATTTACTTCTTATATTACTTGACCAAGTTACAAATAAAATAATCTTTTTGATTTTGGCTAATCTGAAAGGTGAAATTTCCATTTCTATGAATAAGTCTTGTCACATACTTAAAGGCATTTTCTTTTTTTAAACTACTTAGTGGTTCACATACCTTTCCTCTGCATGTTGAAGCTCTCCGTGGTCTGTGCACCTGACCACAAATGAACTCTTTATATTGGATGTTAAAGTGTGGTACTATAAAAATTTTGGAGCCAGACATGGAGTCTGGTGCTGGTATTCCCAGCACTTTGGGAGGCAGAGGCAATAAGATTGCCTGAGCCCGGTGGTTCGAGACCAACCTGGGCAACTTGAAGAGACCTCATCTCTACAATAAATAGAAAGATCAACTGAGCATGGTGACATGCGCTTGTAGCTCCAGCTACTTGGAAGGCTGAGGCAGAAAGATCACCTGAGCCCAGAAGGTTAAGGCTGTGGTGGCCATGAGCATGCCATTGCACCCCAGCCTGGGTGACAGAGTGAGACTCTGGCTCAAAAAAAAAAAAAATTTTTTTTTTCATTTTAGGGATTTTTGAGTGAAAAACTAAAGATATAATCTGGGAAAGTGAGTAAATGTATTACTTACTTTAGACAAAGGGTGTCTTTTTCAAGATAAATATTTCAAATGTTAATAGAAGGGAAATGTTCCATTTCACAAACTTTGTGTTAAATCTAGGTGATGGTAATTGGTATCGTGCTTTAGTCAAGGAAATCCTACCAAATGGAAATGTTAAAGTACATTTTGTGGACTATGGAAACATTGAAGAAGTTACTGCAGATGAACTCCACATGATATCATCACAATTTTTAAAGCTTCCATTTCAGGGGATGCGGTGCTGGTTAGTAGGTATGGTACACGGTGCAAAATTTTCCTAACTATTTTCTAATACTTAGGTTATATAATCTAAGGGCTAACATCTACAATTTTAACATTTTGTGTGAGTTAAACGATTCTGCTTCATCTTATACGTTTCAGAAGTTTATTTTTTTAAGATATTGGCCAAAATGCTCAGTGTTGATATTAAAAGTAGAGAAGCACCTGCTTTACTAATAACTGGGAGTAAAAATTGACATGATCTTCTTGAAGACATTTTGCAGGATTCTTTAAGAGCCTCAAATATTCATACCTTCTGACTTAGTAATTTTACTTCTAGTAATTTATCCCAAAGAAATCTGAGAATTGCACTGAGATAGGCTGCAAGGAAATTAACCGTGCTGCTGTTAATAATAGCAAAACAACATAAATAGCCAATAATAGAAGACTGGTTAAATGATGATCCATATAATTGATAACAATAGTACCTATTTTATAGAGTTGTTGCAAGGATTAAATTAAGGTTTAGGACAGGATCTGGCATTCAGAAAATGCTACATATATAAATGTTTTTTGTTATTACCCAGTTATTAAGATGATGTTAAGTATATGTTATTGACATGAAGAATTGTTCATGATTTAAGTGAAGAAACAGGTTATGAAAGAGATGCAGGATAGAGTGATAAAACAGACTCCAGACCCAACTCTGCTATCTGTTAACTGAGAGACATTTAGGCAAATTATTTAAACTTTCTATGCTTCCATTTTCTCATTTGGAAAGTAATAGTGTCTTCCTGACTATAGAGTTGTTAAGAATAAAAATAAATAAATAAAACATAAAGCAAAAACAGTGCTTGGCATTATACCTATAACAGCAGTTATTATTATTGACACTTCTTTATAAGAGAATATATGTGTTTATGTGCATGTGTGGAATCTTCATCTGCACAAAAAAATTATGGAGGGTTGGATTCCAGAATGTTAATAGTGGTCACGTTGGGAAGCATAGATGCTCTTTCTTTTGCCAATTTGTTTTCATTCTACTTATTTTATGGTAGGTTTCAGAGTATTGTTCTTAATTACTATGTTTTCTGTCAGTACTTCTTAAAATATGGCCCCCAAACCAGCAGCAGAGAACTTGTTAAGAACCACAGATTCTCAGTTCCCACCCCAGACGTACTAAATTAGTAACTTTGGGTAGGGCCTCCAGTCAGTGTTTTAACAAGCCCACTAGGTGATTCAGATGCACATTCAAGTTTTAGAATCACTGTAAAGAAAATACAGTGTAAGCCAAAATTATCTGAGAAAAATAATTTTTGCTTAAGTAACTTAAAATGACATTTTGAAGATATTAGAAAACTGTCCACAAAAGTGATTCAGCTGGCAGCTTTTACCAGCATAATTGGTAACTCACAATTGTGTATGTAAAAGAACATGACAGTGGATTTTAAAGAAGTAATACTCCTATTTTTGCCTATTTGAAAAATGCCAGGTAAAGATAGGTTAGTGGAAAAAAGTAAGGAAAGATCCCGAACCTCCTAAAACCCTATTGTGTATTAGCAAATGCAAAGTTTTCTGTTACTTAGACACGGAGGATGTAGCTATATAATTGAGTTTTGAAAAAAGATACTGAAAACTGCTGACCTGAAAGGTTGGCAAGGACCCAGTCCTAGATACTACTGAAGCAAAAATGCAGCTTGTGCACAGGGTTCCTCTTAATACTGTTCTTATTTTCCAGATGTACAGCCTAGAGACAAACATTGGACTAAAGAAGCCATAGCAAGATTTCAGATGTGTGTTGCAGGGATAAAAATGCAAGCCAGAGTGGTTGAAGTCACTGAAAAAGGGATGGGAGTTGAACTCACTGATATTTCTACTTCTTATCCCAGAATAATTAGTGATGTTCTGACTGATGAATATCTGATTTTAAATGCTGGTTCACAACATAAAGACTTGCCAGATAACATACCTGTTAGTAAACATGATCTTCAAATTGATGATGCACAGGGACTTCAAGGTAACATTTTTACACCATTTATTTGTTATTTAAATTTGTTATCCTTTGCTTTTATAAGCTATGAACATTTTTTTCATCTCAAATTACACAGTTTTTCTGTAGAGATACACTTTGTGGATGTTGATTAATAGGCTATTAATATTAATGAAACATTGAACAAATATTATACTCATTTTTAACATAATTATCAGATACACATGTATCATATAGCTATATCTCCCTTAAAGTTTGAGTAAACTATAAGAATTATATTAAATATACTATAGAGATGGAAATATACTACAGGAGTGTAATAGTTCAAGGATTCTCATTATAAATGGAACTTTATTGTAACACCCACAGAATCCCTTAAGTTGAAAGACTGCTTTGTGAAAATAAAGATTTTCATTTTGGGGATTTGAGAATGTTGATAATCAGCAGTTGATGAACAAATTGAATTAAATATATTCCTAGGAAAGAATAGTACATTTTATTTTATATAAGGCCTGTTTTGTATTTTTAGCCATCTCTTCAGCTGAGCAATGGAAGACGATAGAACTGCCAATTAATAAGACTGTAGAAGCAAACATATTAGAAATCATAAACCCAAACTTGTTTTATGCTCTACCAAATCAGAGGCCAGGTGAGAAACCAACATTTGAGATTTATTTATGTTCGTCTTTTAAACTCTATACTGAAAGTGCTTATATTGAACTCCTTGAAGGGGGTGAGGGGGAGGGTGATGATTTTTGTTTCACTCACCATTTTACGGAAGAATTGACCAGACACCATGACACTTAAGGCAAATTTAGCTGTAAAGATACAAATGGGAATATGAAGGAACACTCTACATTGAGCACCTACTCAGTTGCCCAGTCTTGAGAATCTACGGTGTTGTTTTTTTTTTTGGAGGGGAAGGTAGGTAGGGGTTGGAGTCTCACTGTCACCCAGGCTGTAGTGCAATGGCGTGCTCACGGTCACCACCACAGCCTCAACCTGCTGGGCTTAGGCAATCCTGCCTCATCCTTCCAAGTAGCTAGAGCTACAGGTGCACGCCACCATGCCTGGCTAATTTTTGTGATTTATAGTAGAGACAAGGTCTCACCAACTTGCCCAGGCTGGTCTTGAACCCCCGGACTTAGGCAATCCTCTTACCTCGGCCGCCCAAAGTTCTGGGATTATAGGCTGAGCCACTGAGCCTGACTGAGAACCTACAGTTTTTTATATCAAAACGGTGTCCTTAATTACTGTATAATTTCTTGTCCCAAAAAAAAACTATGTTGAATTATATTTACTGTTTAAGATATATTGAAAGACTTGTAATCAGTCCATTATCATAGTTTTACTACATCTCAGAGACTTAGGCAAATGTTTCACTGGAACTAATTATGAGGAAAAGTAGCATATAAAACTTGATTTTTAGGATTCCTGTTTTGTTTCATGGAAGTTTACAATCAAGGAATCTCTATATGTGTATGAGTATATCCTTAAAGTGTCTGCAGGTGAGTTGGTGCAAGTGAGGTGGTGTATTCAAAATAATCTGCTGCATTTTAAGGCTGAAAAAATGAACCTTTGTTTCAAATTGCCAAACTTAAAATTGTGATATTGTCAATAACTGCTCTTACATTTATCTCCAATATTTAAAAAATTATCTTTAATTTGTATATTAAAAAGCAGGAGTTTAGGATGATTTGATTCTGACAACAACATAAGGTATGATGAATTGGAAATACTTTGAGGATAATTTTTTAAAGTAAAACACACTTACTGAAAAGTATACCCCAAAATTGTAAAAATACAGCTTTATAAGTTTTTATCGAGTGAACACACTATTATAACCACCCTGATCAAGAAATTGGTCTGCCAGAGGCTTCCTCCATGCACCCTCCTGGTGCTGATTGCATCCCTTCTGCAAAAGACAACCAATAGTGGTTATTTTTAACATATGACATGTATTTTAATACAAAATAGTTTTTTGATTGATTAGGCTTGACATTCTTTTGATTACTGTTGTTAGTGGCATTGGAAATGTTCTTCACAAAATATTGCTTTTATATATTTTAGAAAACCACGAAAAACTACTGTGTATTCTGACAGCCAAGTTGTTAGAGTATTGCAATGCTCAGGAAAGTCCACCATCCTATAGACCAAAAATTGGAGACGTGTGCTGTGCCAAATACACAAGTAAGGTTCTTTTAGGTAAAATATTAAAGGGAAAATATTTAAGCTGTTTTCTCTTACATGAGATTGTGTAGGTTTTGTTATTTTAGATGCTTCATTTGGCTATGTAGAGAGGAAAGACAAGGTTGTAGGTTTAATTCATAAGTTGGGGTCATTCTACCTTTCCATTCTGTATAGAGTATTTTTAGACAAGGATATATAGGTAGATTTATACAAATATGTCAGTACTTACAGATAACCAGCTCTGGATTGTGGTATATCAATAACATATCAACATTACATTTATATGTGGAGGGATTGTAAATAATTTATTGAGCTCTATATGTGAATGTACTTAAAGAATGAGATTCTTCAGAATCATACTCATTGATTAGGGTATACTTTAACCATTCTCCTGTTTACTATTTCATTTTAATAAATTTTCTTTGCTAATATAAATAACACTTGCAGCAAATATTCTGTTTTGCCTCTGGGATCAAGGTAACATGAGACATAGGGCTGTTTCAGTGTCCTCAGTCGGGTTCTGGTTGGCAGGCCTATTATTAGGGAGTGAGGGTATAGGGGGAATGGGTGGACATGGCTGTTGCCAGTCCCTGGGCAGATGGGGCTGGTGGCAGGATGACAGCTAAGCAGGGATGGAGCTGAGTTCCCATGGGGACAAGGCTGCTTTCAGTCAGTAGCTCGGTTAGGGAGAGAGTCTGAGAGTCTGCAGCTGGGGCTTGGGCCTGCCTTTTCAGAACAGCCTTCCTCAATCTTGGACTCCACTGGAGTTTCGAAGCCTCCTACCTGGATCACATAGCTCCCACAGAGACACTTCTTTCTGTCTGTGACTGACTGCCAGATTGTTTTTTCTGGGGACCTCCTACTCCACTGTCTTGCTGATATCACTGCCTTGTTTTGTTTTTCTTGTGTATGCAACTGCATCTACACTCTCTCCCCCATTCTTCCCAATAAAAATATAATATTTGGTTCGATAAGTATTCTGGGTTACTTTTTTTAGGACTGATATACATGCATACACAATTGAGCTTTGTAATGTGCTATGATTACATTTCTCTCTTTCCACTTCTGTTGTTGTGTTCTATATACTTTAATTATCTCCAGTTCTCTGCATTAGTGCAAATTCCCTCAAAGATCACTTCATGTACCTTATCAACTTTTTATCATATTGAAAGCATCTTCAGCCTCTGACCTACTCCTATTGAGATTGCTTGTCCTCCAGGCCTGAGCTGTTATCCTGAGTATTTTCTTCAACATCATGCTGAGATTATTTCAGTGCTGCCCCTCCCCTCTTTATTTCCTGGATTTCTCTACCACCCCACCTTGTTAGTTAGATTTCTACCTCCCTTGGTTTTCTGGATCCTGACCTCTCTTGATTTATTCCAGTATTTGGGTGGTTCCAGTGCTTCAGAATCTGAGAAAAGGTGCATGTAAGACAAATTTTCTATTATGTCCCATGTTAGAAAAAAGTCTTTCATTCTATCCTAACAGTTAATTGATAGCTTGCTTGCTTGGATATAGAATTCTAGATTGGAAGTCATCTTCCCCTTAAACTTTTGAAGGCATTACTTTTATTGTGTTTTAGCTGTTGGTGTTTCTGGTCAAAAGACAGATGTTATTCCAGAATTTCCAGACTTTTGGTATATTTTTTTCCTTTCTGGAACTGTTAGTGTGTCCTTCATCTGTGTTTTGAAATTTGTGATGTGCCTTAGTGTGGTGCTTTTCTTTCTACCATAGTGTTGGGCACTCAGCGGGTTGGCCCTTAAATCTAGAAATTCATGAGCTTCAGTTCTAGGGAATTTTCCTGAATTCATGCTTTCATTTTCTTTTGTTTTCTTTTAGGAGCTCCGTGTCTTCTAACATTGGACTTGAACTCTTTTACTGAATCTCTTCTTTTCTCTTTTGTCTTATCTGTCCTATTTTTCAAGAGATTTCTTCAATTTCATTTTCCAGCTTACTGAAGTTTAGATTTCTGATACCACATTTTTAATCTCTTTTTTTTGAGTTGGTTTCTCACTCTGTCACCCAGGTGATCCTTCTGCCTCAGCCTTCTAAGTAACTGGAACTACAGGCGTGTGCCACCACACCTGGCTAATTTTTTGATTTATTTTAGAGATGAGGTCTCACCAAGTTTCCCAGGCTGGTCTCGAACCCATGGGCTTCAAGCAGTCCTCTTACCTCTGTCTTCCAAAGCGCTGGGATTACAGGTGTGAGCCACTGCGCCTGGCTCAGTTTTAACTTCTGTAGCCTTTTTGTATCTTGTGTGTGTGTGTTTTGTTATTATTATTATGCTCTTATTTCAAGAGTGGAATGTCATTTCTCCAAGGATGTTACTGTCATTCTTTTAATTTTCATTGTCTTCTTCCTTCCTTGTCTGTTTCTCTGAGGTCCGATTTTGCTTGTTTTTGTCTTTTCTGTCTTGTTGAAGGCTTTCTTCATATATCTGGTGATGCTTTGTTATCCACATGTTTAAGATGGGGCACTAAGAAGTTATTTGGAAGTGCAGTGTGTGGGCAGTGTTTATCCACTGGTGACCTTCACTGTATGTGGTCTGGCTCTGCCATGTTACTGGGGGCTTCCAGTGTGAGTATCTTGCAGTGCTCTCACTTGGATTGGTTGTCTCCTGCCTTAAGTGCATAGCTTGCCTGACAGTGTTAAGTTCTCCCTCCTCTGCTCTGTCTCATGTTCCGCAGTCCATAGTCTCTCTGTAGATGAAACCTCTAATCTGCCTCTGGGTAAAAGTATTTACCTAGAAAGAAGGCATTCTAAGCTTTATTAAAATACATAAAGCTCATCGTTCTCTTTAGCAACTTTAGAAATAGGTATTATATGTAAATGTGTTTATGAACCAAAGTCTATTCAGATGTCTTGGGAAGCAACTCTCCTTCCTTTGTCCAATTCTCATTTCTGTCTCCATCTTTACTTCTACTTTTGAATGAGTGGTACCAATTATTGAGCCTTGGGAGTTGGGGATTTGAGATGCAAACTGGGAAGTTTCTTAGCTTCCCCCACTGCCAGCTTTGTTGAGCTACTTGGCTCAGCTAAATCATTTTCATTCATGCATCTGCTTTCTAGCTTTCAATATTATATTTTCATCCCTCTTCCTCTCTATCCTTGTGACTTAGACCCTTAAAAAACCTGTTATCTTTTTAGTAGGATTTAGAAGTAGAGGTAAATGCTTATATTTAATCTGGATTCTAACCAGAAATTTGGGCATGAACTTTAGGTGATGCAAATGTAACTTTGAATAGCCATCTTTTAAGGCAGGACAAGTCATTGACAATGACATCTTACCTGAGATTTCATTATATTTTCAGATGATGATTTTTGGTATCGTGCAGTTGTTCTGGGGATGTCAGAAACTGATGTGAAAGTGCTCTATGGAGACTATGGAAATATTGAAACCCTGCCTTTTTCCAGAGTGCAGCCCATCACCTCCAGCCACTTGGAGCTTCCTTTCCAAATTATTAAATGTTCTCTTGAAGGTAGACAATTAAGTCACTTTCCAGATTGGGTATCTGGGGGATTTTTTCCTTCCTATTTATGTTTCATAGATCTAAGTTTAAATCAAATGTGTATTTCAAGTAACTGCCCAGATTTTTAAGGATCAAGTAGAGTTTTCAAAGAAATTTCATGTCCTTTATTTAATTTTTGCAAAAGCTATATTTAGTTAGTCTGTCTTTGTTTTACAGTTTAGTTTCAGGGTACCAAGGTTCAGGAATTATATTTTGCCCCAGATTGCCGAGCTAGTAAGTGGCAAGGCCAGAATATGAGTCTGGTTGTTTGACCTCTCATTTGGTGTCTTTCTGCTTTGTCACAGCTCTATTTAGGGACTAAAGGCATTTAAATGGCACCACCTTTGGTCACTTTACTGTGCCTACTAAGTCTGTCTATATTGAACTCTTCGGTTAGAATTTGAATAAAGTTAACCAAAAATACTTAAAGTAGCTTTTCGCTGTTACTCCTGACATTTTAACGCGGAGGCCCTAGCAGGTAATACCATACTCTTTGTGCCCGCCATTGCCTCATGGTCCACTTTGGTCTTGACTCAGAGAGAGAGTTGGAAGATTGTCTTGTTTTTTTTCTTTTTTGCTTCTCCCATTGGAATACATGAGGGCAGACATTTGGTCTGTTTTGTGCCTTCTAGACCAAGATTAGTGCTTGACACCTTATAGGTGATCAATAAATATTTACTGAATGAATTCAATTCTTTTAATGCAACAGCAATAGTACATCAAAGCATGCCTAAATCTAGCAAACCAATAAGTTTTTGTTTATTATTCTTAGATAATTTATCTGAATATTACCTTTTTTAAAAGGACTTGAAGACTGACTATAATGTTCCATTTTTTCCAGGACTAACAGAATTGAGTGGAAGCTCCTCTCAATTAATACTGCCACTAAAAAATCTCATGTTGAATCAGAATGTAATGCTTTCTGTGAAAGGAATTACTAAGAATGTCCATACAGTATCGGTTGAGAAATGGTCTGAGAATGGCAGTGTTAGTATTATTGATAAGCTGGTGACATTTGGTCTGGCAAAAAACATCACACCTAAAAACCAAAGTGCTTTAAATAAAGGTATTAAGTGTTATTAATAACAGATGTAAGTGTAATGAGTAACACATCATCAATTTGATTGACTTGACCTTTCCTCACTCTCTCTGGCCACACACTCTTCTTTTTCCCAAATCCAGTAGCAGGGAGGGCTCCAAGTCCTGTTGCAACCTTAGAGGAGCCACCTTGATGGAAGCGGTCCTCTGAGTCCAGATATTCCTCGGGTCAGGCTTAGCAACTTTTTGTGAGAATTGGCTCTGAGAATATTGGAAATGTCAGACATTCTGCATGCACCTTACAGCCAGTTTACTTTTGATCCTGATCAGAATGAGAACTCAGTATTTTTGAGATGAATCATTCTCCATAAGATGTATATTTGGCAGACCTGCGCCAGGCTCAGTGGCTTACACCTGTATTCTCAGCACTTTAAGAGGCCAAGGCAGATTGCTTGAGCCCAGGAGTTCGAGATCAGCCTAGGCAACATAGCAAGACCTCATCTACAAAAAATTAAAAAATTAGCCAGGCATGGTAGCGCATACCTATAGTCCCACTACTTGGGAGGCTGAGGCCGAAGGATTGCCTGAGCCCAGGAGGTTGAGGCTGTAGTGAGCTATGATTGTGCTGCCGTAGTCCAGCCTGGATGACAGACAGACCCTGACTCAAAAAAAAAAAAAAAAAGGCAGACCTGCCCTCAATCAAATAGAGAGATTCCATATATTGTAGACAAAGGACCTGAACCTTGCAGCTTTTGGTATTATTTTGGTCAAATCCAGGTCACAGCAGTAGATAACATCAAAGCCTAGATGGATCCATAATGTTCTTTGTAGTTGGATCCCATGCATGAGGGCAGATCTGTGTTTGTTTAGACTCCAGGTTTTTCTTATCCACATTGTATGTTATCTAATGGCTTTTTTTTTTTTTTTGGTCTATGCTTTTAGGAAAGACATGTAGGATGAATTGCTGCTGCACAGAGTTACAGAAACAAGTAGGTAAAATTATCCTCAAGTGAAATTACACTCTTAACATTTTTAGAAATTAAATTATACTATTTCTTTTTCACCCATAGGTTGAGAAACACGAACAGATCCTTCTCTTCCTCTTAAACAATCCAACCAATCAAAATAAATTTATTGAAATGAAAAAACTGTTAACAAGTTAAGTAAGTTAAATTTGATGTTTTTGCCACTTCTGTAATCAACAGAAGGATATCTCCAGTCATGTTGTCAGGATAGATCTAATGGAGTAAAACCTGTCGTAAGGCTATACTTCATTTTGTGCTCTAGTGATTTAAGGTCTGGATGTGATTTTTTTGCTGTCTTCATAGGTTTGATCTGATGATCATTTTCCTTTGGCACCGCTAATGGAACTGAGCCTAGAGGTGTTTTGATAGCAACAACCTGTCCTTATTGTTGTTCAATTTTTGAGAATGTTCATGTTATTGATACATAGAGGGACTTATAAAATTGTTGTGAGGTAAAGCTTAGACTCAAATTATTTGTGTCTAGGTTTAAAATTAGCTGAAATCTCACTTGTGCACAGTGCTGTACAAATATTTAGCACTTTTTTGTAAGAAGTACCTAAAGGGTCAAGATCAGAAAGTGGTCTCCACTGACAGTGGTATTTCCTTTCAAAACAAAACGTACTGCTCCCTTTTGACTGTGGTGATTCTAGTATTTAAAGAGTATGTTGGTGAGTTTTAAACCGATGGTTCCTCCCTTCCTTTCTTGGGTCCTTTGTCCTAAGATGGCTCTCAGAAATTACTTTATGACCAATGGCCGTTAGAACTTCTGATAAAATTTTCCTCCTTACCGCTTTGAGTTGTTATAATTCCAGCCAAAAGCAAAGGAACTTTAATTTACTTACGATGTGTGCTTTTGGTGGCAAACATGCAGTTTATATTAGATTGTTCAGAAATAGTTCAGGAGGCTATATTGTGAAATTTTTATGGGCATTGGTAACTCTCAAGTAGGAACCAACTGTATTGAAACATATTTTTCATGTGGTATTGTACTGCTTCTTTGTTACTAAAAAAGGTTCAACTGAATTCTAAGTAAATGTCATTAATGCAAGATCAACAGTCTCATGATTTATTTTCTTTTCAAATTTTTGTTCATTTTTAATAAAGGCAGACTTACGGTTGCAATTACAACTTTTAGTCTTTTCTAATACATTGTTTTAACAATGCTGTTTTGTGTGCTTGAGTTTAAAATCTTCACCTAAGACCAGAAGGTCGAGGCTGTGGTGAGCTGTGATTGTGCCACTGCAGTCCAGCCTGGGTAACAGACAGTGAGACCCCGACTTAAAATCTTAAATTTAATGGTTATTTTTATTTCATAGGTTAAGGAACATGCAGTGAATGACATGGACTTCTGGAATTTAGTCCCAGTATCAAGTCATTATATTTTTAACCAAGTTGGTTAACTTCCATGTGCTTTTTATCTGTGTAATAGGCTTTTTTTAATAAGAATATTGAGAGAGCCTACACATATAACTTAAGATGAAACTTATTTTCTATTATTTTTCAATAGATTGAAGACAGGGTTTAGTACCTTTAAAAAAAAAAACTTGATTTGAAGCATAGTAGTTGAACTGGCTTTTCCCCTACTGTGAGAATAAATATATACTTTATTTATATTTGAATGTAGTAAAATACCTTGTATTTGGGTAGTTATTTACAAAGCACTTTTATATCTAGTCACATACTTAACCTTCACAATACCTTTGATAAGAAAGTAAGCCCCATTTGACAGATGAGGAAGCTGAGGCTCACAGAGATTGCATGACTGTCCAGAATCACACACACAGACTGGACTTATGACTCAAAACTGGCTTCTGTCTACTGCCCCTCCCTGCTACCTGTATGCCACAGTATCTTTTAGAGTAAATCAGTTCCATAGGGCAAGAAACTCTAGAGGGTTATCTTAGAAAAAAAGTAATTTACATGGTTGCTTAAACATTTAAGCATACTTCTTTCATTATGGTGAAAATACGCTTCAATATTTACTCTCTCCTTTAAATTCTTCCTAGAGATAGAATGTGTTAAAATTTTATTTCATTATCTCTGGAGAAATATATTAATTTAATTGTAAAATTGCTTAAAGAAGAGTGCTGTAGTGATGAGAACATAAAAGCCTCTGTAATCTGTTGCTCAAAAGTGATAGATACTTCAACACGCCAGTTATTATCAATTATCTCCTATGTGAAGGGGAGTGCAAACAGCTATATTTTATATTTGTGAAGGGGAGTATAAACAGCTATACTTAAAATATGTCACGTTGCCGGGCTCGGTGGCTCAGCCTGTAATCCCAGCGCTTTGGGAGGCTGAGGTGAGTGGATTGCCTGAGCCCGCGGGTTCGAGACCCGCATGGGCAACGAGACCTCATCTCCACAATAAATCCAAAAATCAGCCGGGCGTGGTAGCGTGCACCCGTAATTCCGGCTACTTGGAAGGCTGAGGCGGAAGGATCGCCGGAGCCCAGCTGGTCAAGGCTGTGGTGGCCGGGAGCGGCCACTGCACTCCAGTCTGGGCGACAGAGTGAGACTCCATCTCCAAAAAAAAAAAAAAAAAAAAAGTCACATTATGATGGTGCTTAACTTTTTTAACCAACAGATCTGACTTAAATGCATAATTTTAGTTTAAAGTGAATGTTTGGTTTGCTTGCACTTGAAATAGAAATTAAGAGCGATAGGGATTGAGTTTTTACATAAGGCATAATGATAGTTATTTTTCTCTTTCAGAGTCTTTCTTGGAGATAAACACTTATGAGAAGGAAATAGCAAAAGCTAAACTTAGGATAGAAAGTACAGCATTTTGTGTTTTTGTTTATAGGAACCTCTTCTTTGCTTTTTTTTAACAACCTTTTGGGCCTTCATTTTTGCTTGCCGCCATTTTTCTATTAGATTGGTTGGCTTTATTTTTTTCCTCTAAGTTCCTCCCACCAAATAAGTAAATACTGTGTAAAAGATTCATACCAAATTTATGGAACTACTGGGAAGGAATATACAGGGGCTTTCTACTTTCTATATAACTTTTTATTACTTACAGGTACTGGAGAAAATATGAGTCCATGTTAATGCTGTATAAATCTAGTTGGTGGATATGCAGGTTTTATTATTTTTTGTACGTTTGAGACATTTCCTAATAAAATGTTTACTGTCATCACCTGTCTGTTCCACATAATAAATGTCCTTTGTTACTGCTCTTCTTTTCCCACCTGCTCTAAGGACAGCTGCTTTCTCTCCATCCTTAGTTGGATCACTTATCTTTTGACCTTTTGACCCCAAATCTGTGCCACTCCTACTGGGGAAGGAACTTTCTCTTTCTGCTTCTGCCATCCATCCATACCCTTTCAAATTTGTAGCCAGTTAGATTTTTATTGTAGATAGAATTTACTGTTTTCTGAAGCACAAATGTAGCGAACGGTTTGTTAAAAAACTGAGTTAGAGTATAATTTTTCTTGAGCACATAAAGTAATCTTACAGTTTCCTAAATGTGTGTGCAGAATGAACCAGCTGACTTTCCTGCCAACTTCCAAGTTTCTATTTGGGAATTTTTTTCTGACTTAATTTCAGACTATGACAACCTAAGAAGTTGTTTGTCACCAACTCAAGCAGATACTTAAAAGACTTTCTTTTTGCTTTTTACTGGTAATGTATGTCAGCTAATTTGTTAGAATAAATAGAATTTCTCCTCATGCCTGTAATCCCAGCACTTTGGGAGGCAGAGGTGAGAGGACTGCCTGAGCTCAGGGCTTCAAGACCAGCCTGGGCACCTTTGTGAGACCTCGTCTCTACAATAAAAAAAAATTTAGCCAGACATGTTGGCACATGCCTGTATTTCCACCTACTTGGAAGGCTGAAGTGGAAGGATCACCTGTACCCAGCAGGTCGAGGACGAGGCTATGGTGACTACTGCATTCCAGCCTGGGTGACAGAGTGAGACTCCAACTCAAAAAGTGGGGGGAAAAAAAAGTTCAAACATTGATGTGCCTCCATTAGATAAAAGTTTATGCTGCTTTGCCCAATAAAATCCACTTGTCAACCAGCTTCCCTTGTGCTGTTATTACTAGAATTTTGCCCCCTTTTTTGTGCATACCAAGAGCACGGATCCTTCATTTGTTCATACTGTCTGCTTCATTCTAGCCGCAATGGAAATGCAGGTGACTATGGAATTACAAAATTGCTCATTTTTATTAAGGAAAATTAGGGAAACAAGGGACACAGAATTGTAAATCAAAGTTTATTTCTTTAAATTCCAATATTTTATTATATGGTACTAGAAATTTGAATAGAAACTTTTAATTAAATGAAATTTAATAACATTTGGTGATTCATCTATTTGGCTTGTTCCCCAAAAAAGACATCTATAGCACTAATTTCACAAATAGAGATATGTGTTAAATATCTCCTGGATTAATTTGATATACTGGCCCACTGGGTCTTATTTCTGAGTAGGTTTAACAAGTTTTCTATTTTAAGTAACATGTCAGCTGCATGTTTGATTCATTCTGCAAATATTTAGCTCCAACGATGAGCCTGACATGGTAGGTCCTGGATTTATTGCTTAGTAGGGCCAGCGTGGCCCTGTCACACCAACCAAGCCCTGTCTTCTGATCCCCTCACATTACTTAGTTTGGTCATAGTTAAATAGAGCTGAAACCATGTATTTGAGCAGATAGTTTATTCCAAGGGTGGAGACCTTGTAAATACTGAGATAAATCCTATCCAGTTTGCCAGGGAACAGATTTGTAAGAGATTAAACAGTGAACTCCTGGGACTTGACAGGAAAAAAATGGCATATTCGATGTGCCTTTTGCTTTGCTAGAATTATTTTGCTGTAGCAGCTAGAAATGTAAAAGTCTCACAATTGTGAATGGCAGTGATTAATATTCTGAAATTAAGCTCTTTTGCCATGTAATAGCATCGGAAACCATCACATGAGGATCCTTACCAATAGGACACTAAACTTCTGCCAGATTCCAGAAAAGGAATTATATCATCGCAAGACTCACTACTGGGAAAGTGCCAGCCAGAAACAGCCATTGGGTATATTAGTGGACTCCTCACCAACGCAACTGCATGAGTTTGACAAGTTAGGTCTTCTAAGATTTGCCAAAGAACACCTGGGCTACTCACCAGTGTGGGTGGTTCTGTAGACAG